GTTCATATTATGTTTTTCAAAAAAGCAGTGAATTGTGAACTCTGTGTAACTGTACCAAACTTGCTAGCTATGTGTGAACTAGCTATATTTTATACTTTATACTAGCGAGGTTGTGATCTTGCTAGCTGGGCAATCGTCGACGGTTGGCAATAATAAAGTTGTATCACTTGTATACTGATTCTGTCAAAAGATCAAGCCAACAAGGTATTGTATATCAAATTTTACAAATATGTAGGTTGTATGTAAATTAGAAAATTGTCAATAAAAATAGTTATATATATATTTATTATATTACAGTAAAATGATTATTGATATTGTTATTACTTAATTATGGGAATATGATATGCAGTAATTAAGCCGTGTATAAAAGAACCAGTGAATTTTGACTTCAGGCTAAAGTGGTTCGTATATTGTCTTACTTCACACTATACTTTTTTATATTCAACACATTGTATTTTGGGTGCTCAATTGCCCAAATTTCAGGCTAGTGGTTCTTAACCTACTGGTTCTTTTATGTGAGGGCAAGGCTTTACTGTAATGTCTGTATATCAAATCAATAGACCTTATGCATAATGACGTCTTAATTAAGGCTTGATGGCCAGGAAAATTTCGATAGTGGCCATTTTGGATTGTTTAATTTTCCTTGGCGATTACTACTAAAGTCCTGGGCAAACTAGGAAACGTTGTTGCGGACGAACAGGCGTGGACGAACATGGTGGGCGAACAGGGAAACGTCTGAGGAAACATCGAGAATCACAAATGTTTCTGCAACGTTTCCTAGTTTGCCCATAGCTTAAGACCAGCATTCCTCGCAGGCATCAAGCCTTGTGACATCATTATGCATAAGGTCAAATGAGCAGTATGATGTCCAAATTGTAACACACAATTGTACACAAATGAAAAATTATTTGACTTTTTTCCATAATGCTCACAATTTCTTTCTTATTATATAGTTTTACAGTTCTGACTGAGTACAATCTTAATCATTTATAAAAAGAATGGTGTCATATGAAGCTGACATATTAAACAATTGCAATCTTAATCATTTACACAATGAATGGTGTCATATGAAGCTGACGTATTAAACAAAAATGTCAACAAAATAGATTTTGTCTCCCCATCGGCAGATTGTTCTGTTGTTCTGCGGTAGTAGTAGTTTTGAAAGTGCCATTAAAATGATAATTGAGGCAAAAACTGACTTACTGGTAGTATTTCTATGTATGAAATTGTTATTAAATTCTGCATATCAAATGATTCATTTAAGTATTAATTATTATCATTTGTTATATATGATATTGTACAGTATTCAGTGGCAAGCTAGCCATGGCAACTGGTTATGATATGCCAATAATGCAAATCATTTGAATAATGCAAATCATTAAAAACTTGCATAGCATTACCTGTAGACTTTCACAAAGTCCTTGCTGAGCTTCGATTTTGTGCAAAGTGCTTTCATATTCAGATTGCACTTTTTCTACCACCTAAACAGGTGTCTTAGGGGTGCTTTTCGTGTTTATGGATGGGGGAGGCAGCACTTTCCTTGCGATAGTAATTTCTAGTAATAGGACTTATATTAAGCGCGCAGAAGTGATTCTCCGCAGAAAGCCACCAAAGGTGTCCTGTAATCTAAAGAACATATATAGAAGTATTGCAACACATCAAACTGGTTGCACGTAGATTCAAAAATTGGTAATTGTAAAATAGATATACTGTAGCTATTCGTTCTGTTTTTATATGAAATGAAACATCATTAGAAATCTAGAGAGAGAAAGTATAAACAGACCTTACAAAACACAGAGTTGCTTGCAATTTTAAGTTCTTTTTTGTATAGTATAGAGCGTTTGTACGTGACGTCACAGACGCCATGTTGATTGGTGTTCCAATTCAAACGAATTTTAAATAGACGCTTTTGTCTGGAACACCAACATGGCCGCCATGCATGGCTTTTGTTGAGTTTTTCCCTGGGGAATGAGTGCAAACGCTCTACTGTACAGGGTGTCCCAAAACAACCCGAAAACTATTGAAATAACGTATTGTTAGAATTTGAATGCCTCGACACTCTGCTGAACCCACACGTGCATCAAAGCTTGACGTAAGTAAATTTTTTAGTTCCCATGCAAGAGCAGAAAATCGTGTGCTTTACAAAGATATTTTAATTCTTAATGAGTCAATATTTAATATAATTATGCACCCTTGTCAATATTTACGCATCTTTGCGTTCAGCTTAGTACTATTCAAATTTTAACAATACGTTATTTCAATGGCTTTGCGTTTTTTTGGGACACCCTGTATATGTATGTGAAATTAATTTCCATAATTTATTTTAGTATTTGTAATTTCGTTTTTCCTTATTTGACTAATGAATGTTGTAATGTTTAGACATTGCTTTTATTATGTCACCTATATACTCTCTAATTAATTATCGACAATGTCAAAGCATTCAGTACTTGTAATTGTTCAGTTTTTCAAAAGTAAAAGGTATTAATAATCATCTACAGTTGGTTTTTATTACCATAAGTATTATGTAGTGTTTTAGAGCTTCCCCCGCTTAAAGAGACGATTCTACTACATATTGAATTTCTGACTAATGCATGAAGAGCCTGCTTACTGATAGCGTTTGGTACTGGGATAGTAAAATTATAGAGAAGATACCGCTAGAATATCAAATCAACCCTTCGCAGCTGTACCTATACCTACCTACCTACCTTATTTGAAATACTTTGATTGGCCGTCATGACGTCTCCCTCTTACATGCGTAAAGTCCCCAAGGAATTTTGACTACTGGAGTAAAGTGTGTTTAGGGTCCTTGCGCAAGACAGTCATGCAATTAGCTTGAGTTAAAACAATTCGTTTCTACATTTATTTATAAGCAAACGATCGGTTACTTTCCACAACAACAGTTAATAACATAGTTATATAGCATAGTAACACAATATATCTTGTCTAATTGACCTATAATAGTTGGTCTGACCCATGCATTCCTTTAAAGGCATCCATTTTTGATAAAATCCCATTTCTGACCTCGTTTGGTGCTCGGTTCCGTCTATCTTTTCTTTTTAGGAATTCATAAACTGCAGGTCTCGGATCAAAAACAGAAGTTGCTTTTCCATTTAACGAAACTTGCATGACTGAGTTGATCGTTTCAGGCTTGAAAGATGCTTTCCTAGCTGTCTTGATATTGTTATAGTGTGATACAGCTCTCTCAGTTGCCATGCTATGTCAACGTTAAGAACGCTGCAAGAAACTTTTTGAGAAGCTAGTCCACAGCTACAGGTAGCCTGGGTCATTTTTCTCAAATGTAAAGCATACGATGTGCCAACATCTTGAATGTCAACAACATAATTTATATTGCTAATTTTTGTACATGATTGGCAGACATCTTCAAACCTCTACTTGCAATAATTAACTCTGCGGGTGATCAATAATTATGAAAAATTACATTTAATCACCTGCTGTGTGCCTTTCTTCCATTTACTTAGAAAACCTTGTGCTATTGCTTTTTCTGTTTTGTCTGATTCAATAATCCCATTGGTCATTTTTGACCATAGGTTTCTGGCAGCTTCATGATTATTCAGCACAGCCTTTAAAATGGTTTACGTGTGTTCAGCAAATCTCACGTCAAAGTACAAGTGTTTTGGAAATGTTAAACAGTTGCCGTCTTCCTGTAAAAGTTGTACATACTGGGTTAACTGCTTACAAATAAAATGTAAAACAAGTGGTTTACATGTAGTTACCAACATTGCTCGTAGCATTTAAAGTAAAATGCATTCCTCTATTTTCTAACTGCATTTATCATTCTGTAAATTGTCTAAAATAATTGTATTGATATATAAACAAATCAGTCATACCTACTGTAGCAACTTGGTTCGCCGTGGTGATGCTCTGAAGAATGTTGACACTGCAAGAACATTAGACATCCAAATGGGCAGCTCTGGAACCTGAGATTGTATCGACTCTGAAGCTAAATCTGAGCGATGGAAAACACACCATGCAGTCAGGATATCTCTTTCAGTATATTCTCTTTACAGTTTCCACAAACCACCATTCTTTTCCGTGTTGGCATTCTCCCCATCAGTTGTTACACCTACCAGCTTTGTTGTTTCAACCTTAACACCACTTAAACAAGAGACAAAAAAGCACCGAGCAGCCCAGGTGCTCCCCCCAAATCACTGGATGAGATCCCAAGAAAAAGAGTATTGACACTTACCTCTTCTGGAGGCACATACCTTGCTGTTATGAACTTAGAATCAACTTGCTGCCGATCAGAACTGCCGTCAATTTGTACAGAATAACACTAAAGACAATCTTTCAATAATTTTTCTGTTTCTCCACTTCATGCTGACCAGTTATATCTCTCATTTCTGCATAAGCTACAGAATCACGGTAGGGATACAACGAGCGAGGTTAGTCGAAGGAAAAAACTCTGCATCCCATCCTTCGTTTTGAAACACACGCAACAAATGGTTGCTGTATCCAAACGCCAAAGACCTTGATGGCCAGTTTCTAGCTCTGAGCGTTCGGTTCTACAATCATTGTACACATCAAGTGCGAGGCGTACAAGAATTTCCAATGTTTCAGCTTTGCACTTTTTTATCACTTTTATCCATGGATGACATTCAGACGAGTTATTCTATGCTTCATCAAGTTGCTTTAAACACGCTTGTGTGCGGGTGAAAATAAATTGTCTACTACGTTACTTAATCTGTCCTTCCCATCAATACGAACTCCACATGCAAGAGGTATTCTTCCATTGTTGGCGAACTTTCTCACTTTCATCTCATACTTGCTGCACAATAAACATTTAATCACTGACGCTGGTCTTTGCCGATTGTCTTTGACCTCTTTTGCCAACTCTAAGCAGTCCTCAGATGACACCAGCCAATTAATGTCTAGTTTTTTGCCTTTATACTAGCAACTTGTTTGAGTTTCCATTGAAGTAGCCTATGGGCTTTGATTATCAACTGTTAGATCATTCCCATCACCCCCAGCTATAATATTACTTTCTTTTTCTGATAACAAGGGATGTTGTACGCGCTTTTCTGTTACATTTACATTAGAATTGTTTTCAAAAAATGTTAGCAAAGATTTCTGCCCGGTAGCTGAAGCAGATTCTTTCAACGATGCGTTTTTCATGGCCACTTTTCTCTTTTTTTTCATTTTTAGTTGCTTCTGGACGAGTAGACTCGAGAGTAGACTGCGGCTCTGATATTAAGTGAAGTTTAACTTATAAATAAATAAAATATTAATGGTTATAGTTTATAGCTTCGAACAAAGAAACCTGAATTAAAGTTCATTTGAGTACTTGTTATTTTAACTATCGCATTTTTTTACGGTATTAATGGTTAAAGAATAACGCACCTTAAATTTACATCATATTATCTTGTTGTTTTTCGGGCCATTCGAATAAACTTTCAAGTTGAAGTACTTCGTGTATGACTGTTATAGAGGATGCGTACTAATTAGCATGCGAGTAGGTTACATACAGCTGGCTATATTTTAAGACGAATTTCAAAAACTAATATGTTACAATAATAAAATATACAGAAAAAAAGCAAGAATTAACGAATTTCAAAACTGATATGTTACAATAATACAATGTAGATAATAAAAAAGCCACACGATTTAATGAAGCAGCCTTTTTTGGGGGGAGGGGGGGGGAGGTGACTAGGTTTTCGGATCGTCGGATTTCACAGAAAAAATTGTTCGGATTTCGGATCTGGCGATTATTTTATACGGATTTTCGGATCTTATTAATACAGTGGATTGCGGATTTATCTAATATTTTGGCTCGGATTGTGGATTTAGCGTGCAATTTAGTTCAGATCCCGGATTGTGACTTCATAGTAGAGCTTTTAGCGGATTCAAATTTAGACAAGACCATTGTCGGATCGCGGATTTTGCTTCAAATTTGGGCGGATCGGCGGATTTGTATACCCCTATTCACCCCCCCCCCCCATTTTTAAGTCCTTCACAGTGACGAAAGGGCCCATTCTACAAGAAAATCAAGGCTCACTCCTGGGGCAAGAAGAGGGCCTACTGGGGTAAATGCCCCATGCCAGTAGTTATATAGTTAAAAAATGCCCTGAAAGTCCCTTAATAATGAATGCTATGCTTGTCGAACGTGATCAAACCAACATCGAACGTGATCAAACCAACATCTTCAGCATCGAAACTACACTATGCAGCTGCTGTCTCAAATAGCTTTGAAATCCTAGAGGATGAAACCTTATCAAACGAATCGTCAAATGATATCTCAATTCAAGATAGCGCAGAATCCATTAACAATATGACGATAAACACTGGAACACAGCCAGATACTCATCCAAACCAGAACACTAGAACCAAGCAAGATGAAGGCAAGAAAGATCATAACATCAGCACATCAGCACAGAGAAGTCAAGATCAACAAGATACCTTGTTAATTGGAGACTCGATGACCAAAAACATAAACAATGATAAACTTTCATATGCTGCAAAAGCAAAAACTGTTTGCAAGACGTACCGAGGTGGCAAGATAAAGGATATTCACACAAATCTACGAAAGGACTGTGGTGAAAGAAGATTACGCAGTATCATTCTTCATGTGGGTACCAACAACCTGGTATCTGATGATGCAAAGGAGGCAGCTAAGCAGATGGAGGATCTTATTGTTGAAGCTAAATCTAAAGCTGAGAATGTCGCAGTCTCAAGCGTCATAAAGAGGTATGACAATAAGGTTCCTCATTCTAAAATAACAGAATTTAACAATCTAGTGCATGAATTATGCAAAAAGCACAATATAACATTTATTGACAATAGTAACATTGATCAGTCCATGTTAAACAGATCAAATCTTCACCTAAACTATACAGGTGATAAAGCATTTGGAAAAACTTTGTGTGCATACTTAAGATCAATAAGATCTGGAAAGACCACCTATGATGGTAGTAAGTTTTTTCGACAAGGCAGGCGGCAATCGAGTCGCCCAAAGGACTGGACAACATGCCTAACGTATCTAGCACACGTTGCAAAAATGATACAACAGTAGAAAGTAATCCATTATTACATAATAAAATAGAACATAGTCAAATACATAATGAAACAGAAATGGGTAGCGATTTTTCGGATAAAATTAATTGTCTTCCCAATCAGCGTGGATTTAAAATGGCTTTTTTAAATATAGTAAGCTTGCCAAAAAGATTTGATGAAATTAACTTAACTATGTCAAACAAATTACTCGATATAATGTCATTTAGTGAGACCAGACTTAATTCAACCATAACTGATGGTATGATTCATATAGATGGGTATGACATTATAAGAAAAGATAGGTCTAGAAATGGTGGTGGTGTTTGCATTTACCTACGTAATTCTATAAACTATCAAATCAGACAAGATCTTATACCAGCCGATCTAGAAGCTATATGCATAGAGATAACTAAACCGCATAGCAGACCATTTGTGGTTGTTACGGTTTATAGACCCCCAGATGCTTCATCGAATTTTTTTATCCATCTTGAAAACCTTTTAAAAAAGATTGATAATGAAAACAAGGAAATCTATATACTGGGTGATCTTAACTGCGACCTTTTTAAGTCTATTCCTGACCATCCAACTAAGACACTTAAATCTTTACTCGAAATTTATCAATTATCCCAGATAATTGATAAAGCCACACGGATCACTAGGACATCCTCAACACTTATTGATCATTTTATTACCAATGAACCAGGAAAAATATCCAAATGTGGTGTAATACATACTGGAATTAGTGACCACAGTCTCATTTATGGCATAAGAAAGATTAACATTCGACACAAAGATAATGATAACATAATTGAAATTAGAAATATGAAAAAATTCAATGAACAGCAGTTTTACAAGACCTAGGAACTCAAACATGGGAACATGTCTATTTTTTGCAGACAATCCTGACACTATGTGGGAAATTTGGAAACAACTTTTCTTACAAGTCCTAGATAAACATGCCCCAATTCAAAACAAAAAAACAAAATCTAAAAAAAATCCTTGGATTACTAGTCATATAAAAAAACTAATAATTGCAAGAGATAATTTGAAAAGAAAAGCAATTATCACTAAACTTGAAACAGATTGGGATAACTATAAAAAAGCCAGAAATGAAACAAACAATCTTCTAAGACAAACCAAAAAGGAATATTATTCCAATAAAATAGCGACTGAAAAGCAAGATCCAAAAGCTGCTTGGAAGACAATTAATACCTTACTTGGTAAACAAAATCAAAGAACTAAAGTAAACGAATTAAACTTAAATGGCATAAAATTAACAAGCCCTGATGAAATTTCTGAGGGCTTCAATACCTTCTTTTCAAATATTGGACCGAATTTAGCCGAAGAAATTAGTACACCAGGATGTCATTCTAAAGACTTCCTTGACAAAACTAATTCTGAATTTACTGCATTCCAGTCAGTTACTGTTAGTCATGTTTGTCTTTTATTACGTGAACTGTCTGGTAGCAAAGCTACTGGCCTGGATAAAATATCCAGCAAGATAATCAAAATTGCTGCACCATTAATTTCCGATTCATTGACTTACATCTTTAATCAAGCAATAACTTTATGTACTTTTCCACATGAATGGAAAATTGCAAGGGTAATTCCCCTTTTTAAGAATGGCAAACGAAACTTGCCAGGAAATTATCGACCAATTTCTGTGTTGCCAGCCATTAGTAAAATTATGGAACGTATCCTATATACTCAACTTTATGAATATTTGAGTGCAAATAACATACTTTCTGAACATCAATTTGGTTTCAGAAAATTTCATTCAACTGCAACAGCTTTACTTGATTGCACAAATGATTGGTACATAAACATGGATAGAAAACTTTTTAATTTGGTTGTATTTGTAGACTTAAAAAAAGCCTTTGATACTGTTGACCATGAGATCTTATTGCAAAAACTAAAACTAGTTGGAATCACAGGAAGTGCATTTCTATTACTCAAATCATACTTAACTGGTCGTACTCAAAGATGTGAAGTCAATGGATCTATTTCAGGGGAAAACGACGTCAAATGTGGTGTACCCCAGGGGTCTATATTGGGGCCACTATTCTTCTTACTCTATATTAATGATCTACCTGCATGTCTGAGTAAAACAAAACCACGGCTGTTTGCTGATGATACAAATATCACAGCAGCTGGAGAATGCTTAAGTGATCTTGAAGATGCAGTAAACTCAGATTTAGAAATGCTTCGTAAATGGCTCATGGCAAACAAACTGAGCTTGAATGTGGCGAAAACTGAATTTCAAATTATTGGTACTAAACAGATGCTGAAGAAAGCTTCTGTTCAGCAACTTAAAATTCACATTCAAAACATACCCATAAAGCAGGTTTTTCAATGTAAAACACTAGGTGTGACTGTTGATGAAAATTTGTGTTGGAAGAGCAATACAGATAATATATGTAAAAAGATATCATCTGGAATATACGCTCTTAAAAGCATTAAAGAATATGTTGATCAAAAAACACTCGTTTCCGTATACAATGCTATAATTCAACCATACTTTAGCTACTGTTGTGAAGTTTGGAATATATTTGGTGAAACGCAATCCACGCGTCTCCAAAAACTTCATAACAGAGCTGCTCGTGTAATAGCATGTGTGCCTAATGAGGTAGATCAACAAACTGTGCTAAATATATTAGGATGGGAACCACTCAAGGAACAAAGAGTGAAAGCAAAGGCAAAAATAATGTTTAAAACGCTAAATAACATGGGGCCAAATTGTCTCAAAGAATTATTTACTTTCAAAAAAGAAATATTAAACCGCAGTCTTCGTAACAGCTCAAGTACCATACGTTTGCCCAAGCCAAACACAAACAATATGAAAAAGAGTTTCATGTATGATGGAGCTTCCATATGGAACTCTCTTCCAAAAAATATAAGAGAAAGTAATTCGCTCTCAAGTTTTAAAAGAAAAATCGCTACCTATAGCTTATAAAGAAAACCACATCATTGTAAATAGCAAACTTTTTGTATATATTTTAATAATTTTATATTCTGCATGTTAATACTTCCTTATTATTTTACTTGTAACAATTTGTTAATGTTTTTTACACGCCCATTGTGGAAACCAGCTTCTGCTGACAATGTTAGCGTGGTTAAATAAAGTTTATCATCATCATCATCATCATCATAAGAGTCGTGGAACTGAACAAGTTTGAAAATATTGAGAAATTATATGGTTTAATTTAGGCATTTGAACATTTTGTTTTACATACTCAATTTTTGGTGCTTGTTGGTATAGTCTCTGTTTATATTATCTCGTTAGAATAGAAATTCATAAAATAAACGTTTTTATCGTCATCGTCATACTCGTTTCATGTCTTGTTGTTAGTACAGACAAATCCAAATCCTAGTACACATGCAAATTTATTGCAAATTCTAGCACACATTGCTACTCATTTACGTAGAGTTTCAAATAAATGCAAATCTCGAATAGAATTTGAACGGATCTGATTTGATTTGATCCAGTCGTGGAACTTGGAAGATCCGTTGAACGATTAGTTGAAATTAAAGAATGTGATGTGAATCCAATTATGGGGAGAAATAAATTTATAAGAGATAGGTTTGTAGTATTATAGGAAAGAGTTCAAAACTCTGCTTGATATTCTATTTAATCAGGTTATAGATAAAATGCAGCCAACAATTGATGCACATATGGCTCGTACGTTACAGGTACCATTACAACAGCCCAGGTTCGAAGACCTGAAGAGATTTGCTGAAATATTCAGTTGAATCTTTATGCATAAAATATAATGTCAAGCTTTTATGCATTTGTGGGTTCAGCAGAGTGCTGAGACATTCAAATCAGTGGCGTGGCCAGAACGATAATTGGGGGGCCCCATATTCATATATTTGTGTTCACATACCATGAAAACAATTGATTTCAAAAGAAATTAATAAAGCCGAACACGAGTATATGAATATGGGCACCCCAATTATCGTTCTGGCTACGCCACTGATTCAAATTCTAACAATACGTTATTTCAATATAGTTTTTGGATTTTTTTTCGGGACACATGTAGAGCGTTTGCACAACACCAACATGGCGGCTGTGACGTCATGTGCCAACACTCTACACATAGTTGATGTATTATTCCATGGTACAGCCACGGTTTGGTCATCAAAATATGTACTTTGTTTTTGATGTTACTCTGTGGGTATATCCACACCAGGCAGGCTGAAAAGTTAGCCTGACCACGTAGCTCAGTTGGCTGAGCATTGGACTAGTATCCCTAAGGTCGCGGATACGATTCCCACCGTGGCCAGGCTAACTTTTCAGTCTGCCCGGTGTGGATTTACACGCAGAGTGTGACATCGAAAACATTATATTCACCTGAGTACATAACATCAAGAGCGGTATACCCCGCATACTTACAGATCAAGCAAGAAATAAATTGTTCTTCTATAAATCAGCAAGCTCGCAAGAAATCGCTAGCCAAAGTGACTGAATTTATTTATCAACAATTGGGTACCCCATAGCCCGCGTGCAGGCTTAAGGGAACTGATAGTGGGCCTGCAAGCAAGGGCCGGTATTTTGTAAAACGCCCCTTTTCATAACACGCCCCATTCGCGCATCAATTGTCAAAAAAGAACCAATGACAGCACCAAAATATTAACAAACAAACTCGCATTAAAATGTTGCGGGGTTTTCTCTGCTTATTCAGAACATAAACAATGTGTAAATGGCAGCGTTAATAACTCCAAAAAAGCAAGCAACGCAGTCAGTAATTGCCAAATTTGCAAGTGCTCATTTTCAACTAAAATCGGAACAGGCAAATTAGGACGAATTTCAACAGAAAACCAGTCTCAAACTTTAAATCGTGAGGGATGTCGTGCGACCACATTAACATTTATATTATGTGTGGTTCGCTGTCGCCATTGGCACTGTTATAAATAAATTGTCTCACTTATCAGATCGTGTGTGCAATTCTTGTTGGCGGCGGAAAGTACGAAATTTATTACTTATTTCATTTGGTAAAGAACTCAATAAAAGAAGAGAGCGTTCAGAGTCCAGATCGTTTCGTTTCAAACGGCAATTTAATACCGTCTTCTGTTTCTCTCTCTCAGCGAAGCCTTGTAAATCGCAAAGTGTTTCGAATAGGCTTACATGCAACTGCATCTCAACATCAACCAAAAGATAATTTTCTTGATGAACATATAACGTATCAAGTCTGTTTGAAATTAATGAAACTCAAGTAAAGGTCACTATAGTTTACCCCAGTCGTAATGTTGCTATTCCAGCACCTCACGACAAGCAATCCCCATTGGCATAACGGCAAAAACATCTCTTCCTTCAAGTAAACAATAAACAGTCTGTTCTTGTTCCATTTATAATCGAAAAAAGTGATCAATTTTCGAATTTTGAGCTTATCGTGCCTTTGTGATGAATCACTGACATAATTATAGAATCCAACAGCAAACAGTAAATCAGAATGCCGCGTTCGTGGGCGAACGCGGAAAGTACAAAATACCGGGCCTTGCTTGCAGGCCCACTATCAGTTCCCTTGGGCCTGCACGCGGGCTAGGTACCCCAGAGAAAAGATAAGAGCCATCGTAAGGAGCACGTCACATGCAAATACCAGCACACGAAATGAAGACAACGAACAAACAAAGATTGTTGACATTAAAATTCCATTTATTAATGGAGAATTCGAACGGACGGGCTTTGGGAGTTGTACGTTCTTCAAGCATACTAGGGTACCTGCAAGGTAGGGATTGCTGCCGGCATTAAAAGCAAATAGAACTACAGCAAACAGCACAAATTATATCAAGCACAGTGATTACTCGCAGCGACTAGTGAGCTGTGAAATGTGAATGGAACTGATAGCAAAGACCAGGGGTTAAAGGGCAATCAGAGGTGATATATTAAACATGTGCGTCTCATTGGGATACATACAGGGGCCGGTTGTATAAAAACGTAATTAGCGCTAACTGTAGTTAGCGTTAATCACTGTAGTTAAATCCTTAACTGTAATTAGTTAACTACATGACTTAACTGCGTTGCACAAAACGTAGTTAGTCGGATAGTTAACTAATCACGTAGTTAACTGTGCGTGGGGCTTGCGTGGGGTGTTTAAACAGAAAATTACATAAAGTAAGCAGCGAGTAACGACCGCTGACACACATTTTCAACATGATTGTGGACTCGTATTTTGCAAATAGGCGGGAATTTTATTCAAAACACTAGAAAACAGTGAAAAATATACAAGAAAACAAGGAAAAACCGCCACAAAAATCATCAAAGAATGCAGTTTTTCCTTGAGATGCCTACGTTAAACCAATGTCTAGCTGTTTGGCAATTATATATCAGTGTTTCTTGGTGTAATGGACCATACTTCGTCTTCGAGAAATCGTCCTGTGCAAAAATATGTTCTGTTTCCGTAAAAACACCAAAGCGATAGCGTTTGAAGAGTTTATATTATCAGGAAACATTCACAGGGAAGATAGCGATTGAAAATCTCAGGTAAGCGTTGCTTTTCATTGTTGTTTTATTGAAAAATGTTGTTCACTCCTATACAAACGCCATTTTTAACTACGTTTTGGACAGTTAACTATACCCTAAAGCATAGTTAACTTTAACTACTTTTTAACTTCAGTTAAGGCTAACTACACTTTTATACAACCGGCTTAACTACGTGATTAAAGTTAACTATTTTTTAAGGCTTTTTAACTACTTTTTAACTGCAGTTAGCGCTAACTACGTTTTTATACAACCGGCCCCAGGTAATTAAGATCAAATTTCATGTCAAGTCTGTTTACTGCTAGGCGCATTTACCACATTTTATAGACTATATACACACATTTATGTTATCAAAAATATAGAACTAACAGTGGCCAAAGTCCAAAACAAATGTAAGCGTAACATTATAG